GCTTCAACATCCGTCCTCTGAGATACTTTGAGGACGTGACAGCAGCTATGGAGGAGCTCAGAGACAAACTGCAGTACACCCTGAGAGACACATGGACAAACGTCTCACTGACTGTCTCTGAGGTGGACGTTTTACTGTCAGAACCAGGACCAGAACCAAAGAGCAGATCTGGATTCTTCAAATATTCATGTGACATCACACTGGATCCAAACACGGCACACACACGATTGTTACTGTCAGAGAGGAACAGAAAAGTTACAGCAATATATCAACCTCATTCTGATCATCCGGACGGATTCATTAAATGGTGGCAGGTTCTGAGCAGAGAGAGTCTGACTGGTCGTTGTTACTGGGAGGTGGAGTGGAGAGGAACAGGAGCTTCTGTAGCAGTCACATACAAGAACATCAGCAGAATAGGAGATCAATCTAAATTTGGACGTAATGACAAATCGTGGTCTTTAGATTGTTCTCAAAACAGTTTTACATTTTGTCACAACAACATCCAAACCTTCATGTCAGGTCCTGGTTCTTCCAGGATTGGAGTGTACCTGGACCACAGTGCAGGTGTTCTGTCCTTCTACAGAGTCTCTGAAACCAGGACTCTCCTCCACAGAGTCCAGACCACGTTCACTCAGCCACTCCACGCTGGACTTTGGGTTAACGATTCTGCTGAGTTTTGTCAACTGAAATAATTTTTTCAGATTGTAACTTTGAGTTTATAGTTGTGATGAGACACTGATCAAGTGATTATTATTATTATGTTTTAGATTCTTCATTTTCTTTTTCTGGTTTTCTTGATATACCAATGTAAACATCAGCTGTCTCTCAAAAATATTTTTTTTTCTGTCCCTTATAAAGGTTTAGTACAGACTGTTTGAATGCAGAAAATAAATCAGAATCAGTTTATTATTGCCATGTCAATGAATGAGGTTCACAAACTAGGAATTTGCTTCGACATAAAGGTGCGAATAGTAATAAAGTAAAATAAAGTAAAAATGAAAACATAACATAACCATATGTACACCCATACAATAGAAAACAATAAAAGAAAGCTTAGAGAACAGTACAGATGGAGTATTCAGTTATAATACAGATGTAATGTGACCAAAGCAGAAATTATGAGGTAGCATTATGAGTGTTCAGGAGTCCAACAGCAGAGGGGAAGAAACTGTTCTTATGGCGGGAGGTTCTGGTCCGAATGGACCGAAGCCTCCTGCCTGAGGGGAGTGGTTCAAACAGTCCGTGTGCAGGGTGAGCAGGGTCAGCTGTGATCCGACCTGCTCGCCTCACAGTCCTGGAGACGTACAGGTCGTGGAGGGATGGAAAGCTGCAGCCGATCACCTTCTCAGCTGAGCGCACAACGCGCTGCAGTCTCAGTCTGTCCCTGGCAGTGGCCCCGGCGTACCACACCGTGATGGAGGAGCTGAGGATGGACTCGATGATGGCCGTGTAGAACTGCACCATCAGCTTGGCCGGCAGCTTGGCCTTCTTCAGCTGTCGCAGGAAGTACAGTCTCTGCTGGGCCTGCTTGATGAGGGAGCTGATGGTCGGCTCCCACTTGAGGTCCTGGGTGATGATGGTGCCGAGGAACCGATAAGAGTTTGCAGTGGTGATGGGGGTATCATTACAGGTGAGGGGGGGGGGGGGGGGGGGCAGAGGGGCTGTGGCTTTCCTGAAATCCACAATCATCTCCACTGTCTTCTGGGCATTGAGTTCCAGGTTGTTGCTGCTGCACCAGGTCACCAGCCGGTCCACCTCCCTCCTGTATGTAGACTCATCACCGTCCGAGATGAGCCCGATGAGGGTGGTGTCATCTGCAAACTTAATAAGTTTCACAGAGTCATGGCTGGAGGTGCAGCAGTTGGTGTACAGGGAGAAAAGCAGGGGTGGGGGGGAGTGGGGGTGGGGTTCACAAATAATAATTTGTGAACTTTATTAATTACATTGTAGCAACCGTTGAACACAGCACTTCTCTGGTGTACCTCTGTCACACATTTATTGCATCACACTTCACTTCAGTCCAACTAAGTTCTGTTCCTTGTCTATTTTGGTTCCACACTACCTGCTTCATTTCTGCTGGGTGTTTGTGTTTTAATACATGTATACACTGTACTGTATACACAATACAGATAAAGTTAAAAAGGACTACATGGTACTATGGTAGTACCAAATTAGGAAAACCTTTCAAAATAGCAAAAATAAAGTGCAACAGATTCTAAATAATAAATTTGAGTATCTAATAGTAAATTAGAGTATTATTAGCGTAACAACACAATATTAAGTTCATTTGTTAGAATTAACACATTACCATTTGTGTAAGTACAACACAGTAAAACTGCACATTTTAGAGTGGCCTTTTATTGTGGTCAGCCTAAGCCACACCTGTGCAATAATCATGCTGTCTAATCAGCATACTGATATGCCACACCTGTGAGACGGATGGATTATCTCAGCAAAGGAGTAGTGCTCACTAACACAGATTTACACAAATGTGTGAACCGTTTGAGTGATGTGTCTATCTCTGCTGCCATTTGTGCATTTTAAGGATGCATTTATAAATGGATTTATGACAACAGGTTCCTGCTTTTTGGATTTGGCTGGTTCCTGGTTTATCTACAATCAAGGTAGTCGTCAGCAGCAAATTTGCACCCGATCAGGCTGCCTGCCTTATGATGGCTTGGTTCGTGCCTCGAGCACCTAGACTCAAATACTTTGGCAAGATGGAGCAGATCTCGGTGATTATTCTCAGGCACGGTCCATTGGGGTGACCATGTAATTTGGACGTTTCGGAACCGAGCGGACTGACACAGAATCAAGGTAGATGTCATTAAAGTTCTGCCTGTCCCCAAAACAATCGTGTTTATCTGAATTCAGCTCCCTGACTGGCCTTGACAGGCCATCTTATCTCAACCCGCCTGGAAATTTTGTAAAACTAAGCCTCCCCTTCTACTGAGGAATTTCCATGGACTTTTCAGAGGAGCCCAGCTGAATAACCATTCTGTCATCATTTCAGGGCTCTTTGGATTCGTCCTTGGCCGTACTTGGCACCCCCCTGTGTACAAATCTCTCCAGAGGGAACTATTTGAATTGAGTGATATTATCTGAACTCTGCAGTGCCTCTGTGTGTTGTTCTCTGGCTGCTCGCCGTCCTTGCATCCCCCCCTGCATAATATCGGCATCATTATGTGCTAGAGTGCAAGATTTTTTTTTTCATTATCACGCTGTTGACCTTCAACCAAAAATTAAGAGCGTGTTAGAAATTATTTTGTCTCCAAACCCTATGTGTCATTTCTCACCACTTTTTATTGTCTGTCCAAACTGGTCTCACTTGTAATTGAGTCTTCGATGCTCAATGTGACTTCTCTGTTTAAATAAAGTCAAGTCAAGTCAACTTTATTTAAAGAGCACATTTAAAACAGAAACTGTTATCAAAGTGCTTAACAACAAGAACAATGACAATCAATGAGAGTAAAATTAAAGAGAAAAAACACAATACACTAATAATAATAACTGAAGAATTAATAAAAAGCATTTAAAACATAGGGTCACAGATTAAAAAAAAAAACACTAGATCAATTTACACTGTGTGAAATGCCTGCGAGAACAGATGAGTTTTTAGTAGGGATTTGAAGTGAGGAATGGAGGTGGCCTGCCTGATGTTGGGGGGCAGGTTGTTCCAGAGTTTGGGGCCCATGACTGAAAAAGCCCAATCTCCTGGGTTGTAAATAAAGGTTGAATGAATGAAAAAATAGACACTTCAGTAATTTGATCCCATTTTTCATGATCTTAACTCAATAATATCAGATGTTTCTATGTATATATACTGTATATGACACAGTCTGTCCGTGGTCCGTCTTGTATTTTTGTGTTTTCCGCTTTTCTGCTTTTTGTGTCTATTTGATTCTGCTTCTTATACTTTTCATTCTGCTCCTTGTGTGATTCTGTTCTGTCTGTTTTCTGTCACTCTCATTCACTCCTCAGTCTGTCTCTCCAGTCTCCAGTCTCGATCATTCTCACCTGTCCCTAATCAGCTACCTGCCCAGGTGCACTCATCATCATCTCTCTCCCTCAGCCTTACTTAAACCTCTCCTCTTCACTACACATACGTCTGGTCATTGTTCTTTATTCACTCAGACATCTCGGTCATCCTCTGCCCTGTCTGTTTCCGTCCACCCGATGATCTGATCTGCCCGTTTACTCTGATGTCCTGTTCAGTCTTGTTCCTGATTGTGTTTTGTCAGAGTAAGTTTTGCTGCATCGACAGCATTTTGTTTTGTTGTTTAAATAAATTTATTTTATTTTAAACTCCTGCCTCGCTCGCCTGCCTGCACATGGGTCTAAAACACAAGGGGTGTGTGTGTGTGTGTGTGTTTGAGATTCTCTTACAATGCTGTTACTGCTAGTATTACTCAGCCCTCTGTGAATAGCAAGCAACCATCAGAGCACTAACGATCAGTTGTTAGACTGGTCCTCTGTTATCATGTGAACAGCTTTAGCTGTCAAACTGGTTGATGCACTACGAGGCGGGGCTTTTTATAAGATTGCAGCTCCTCAGACTGATTAAGTCTTATGGATGAAAGACGAAACATTTCAACAAAGGAGAACTGTCCATAGGACTTGGCTTTATTTATTTTTTTTAGATTAAACACTGAAGGTTCAGCAGCTGTGGAAGAAGTACCTAAATAAGTGTCACTTATTGCTGATTCTTAAGTTGAATCTAACATTACTTTTTGTTTTTATTTAATAAACATTAACATGGTGGAATCACCCGGGCAGCACGGTGGCGCAACTGGTAGAGCTGCTGCCTCTCAGCGAGCAGGTCCTTGGTTCAAACCCCGGTCCAGCGGCCTTTCTGGGTGGAGATTGCATGGTCTCTCCGTGCATGCGTGGGTTTTCTCCGGATACTCCAGTTTCCTCCCACAGACAAAAAACATGCATGTTAGACTGATTGGTAACTCTAAATTGTCTCTAGGTGTGAGTGAGAGAGTGAATGGTTACTTGTCTCATTTGTCTCTATGTGTCCCTGTGATGGACTTGCGACCCGTCCAGGGTGTACCCCGCCCCTCGCACAGTGATTGCTGGACATGGGCACCAGCGACCCCCGTGACCCAAAAATGGAATAAACGGGTAAAGAAAATGGATGGATGGATGGTGGAATCTGTGTGGGGTTTTTTTTACACCTGAGATTAGTGTAGCATGAAGCTGCACTGCTCTATGACCTCTGACCCTTATTCATCTTCCAGACTCACCATGATTTGTGTTTTTCAAAGTCACATTTGACTTCAGTAATGACTGATGTTTTTCCACACATTTCCTGTCCTTGGATACAGAGTCAGCAACAGTCTGACTGTTTATCTTATTGCTTATGTTTCTAAGAAAGAAAAACGAATCATTAATGAAGTTTGTTTTATTTGATTAACGAGTGTGAACATGAATCATTCTGATTGTTGTTTTCAATCATTATAATGAAATCATGTGAAATATTACAATGTGAATAACATTTCTCTGTTCTGTTTTTCAGAAAGTAATTGTTTCTTCAGAGACAGCTGTGAAAAAGTAGTTCTTTGAGCTGGAAGCTGTTTTCTTCAGAGGGGAACCACAATGTTCCCTAGTTAGTCAAAACAATTTTCTCAGAGCTGTTGTTTTGCACAGTGTCTTTGTGTGAAAGGCAGTTCGTCTCTGGCCCCGGATC